CCTGGGATCCAGCAGAATCCATTGGGATCTATGAAATCCTGGTATCTCGAATCCGCTTTTCCCCCCTTGCATAAATACTATCTAATTGGTCTGAACCAAAACCTTAGCCCATTTTAACTTCTCTCAACATCAACTCTGATTGAATAATGGGAGATGTGTTGATGAACTACTCCATCCTTCCCATTTTCTTTTATTAGACTAAAATTTCACTTTTATATGTAATTCCAATTACCTACCACGTTTTAGCCTTTTTCTTCACAGTAACAAACTTTTGAACAACTTTCTGCAAGATGATAATAATTCCGAGAATCTGTCTCACGAAGCAGACATTAACAGGAAAAAATGATAAGAGTAACTAGTGAAAAATAATATCGCTTAACTACCTCACCCTTAATCAATGCATGTGCGAGTTGAGCGAGTGAAATTGAAGGTTAATATAATCTCAGAAACATTTAAAAACGTCCATTGGGATCCACTGGGATCCACTGGGATCCACCGGGATCCACTGGGATCCACCGGGATCCACTGGGATCCACCGGGATCCACTGGGATCCACCGGGATCCACTGGGATCCACCGGGATCCACTGGGATCCACCGGGATCCACGGGATCCACTGGGAACCAATGGGATCCACGGGATCCAATGGGATCCACGGGATCCAATGGGATCCACGGGATCCAATGGGATCCAACGGGATCCGTCGGGATCCTGGGATCCGGGATCCGCTTTTTCCCCCTTGATATAGGGTGTCCAGAAAGTAACTCCACAAAGAATAGCTTACATACATATCTCCACCATATTTTGACCAAACGAGCTGATATTTTTATCACTGATAGAGAAGTGTGCATAGTTCTTATTTATAAAGGAAACGTTGTCAAAAATTGTTTAGAAGTGGCACAACTACCTTCAACAAAAAACTGTAACATAGTTCGAGTTATGAAAAAAAGAATATATTTATTTTCTTAGCTAAGAATAAATGACATCTATTTTTTTTGACTACCTTGCACTAGCATCATTTGCTTTCATAGTTAACTGACAGATACATGTCTCGTTACTAAATGTATCCTGCAAGTTCCATCTATTGAGAAAACTGCAGTATCATTTTTCTTATAACTCACGAAAGATTTCAGTTTTTTGTTGAAGTTAGTTGTACTATTTCTAAACAATTTTTGACAACGTGTCCTTTATGAATATGAACTATGCACACTCCTCTATCAGTGGTAAAAATATCAGCCCGTTTGGTCAAAATATGGTGGAGATATATATGTAAGCTATTCTTTGTGGAGTTACTTTCTGGACACCCTATATATATAAAGAAGAGTGTTTGTCTGTTTGTCTGTTCGCTATTCACTTGGATACGGTATGAGCAAATGCAATGAAATTTTGCAGAAAATACCCTTTTCGTCCAGGAGAAGGTCATAGGGTGGTTTTCGACCCAAAACTTTCACCTGAGAGGGGTGTTTGCCCCCTTATTTTGTTAAATTACTACAATAAATGCCTTTTCTAGAGAGTCTGTGCGTGTGATTGTTTCTATCTATATACCATAAGGAAAAAACGTGCATATGAGTCTTTTTTTCTAGCTCACAATGATGGCATATTCGTTCTTTTTCTTGACTCACAATTCCCATGGTTCCTACTGATATGCCTTTTGAATTCAAACGTCTACAATTTCCAGTTCGTCTCGCCTTCGCGATGTCCAGCAACAAAGCTCAAGGGCAGTCTCTTAAGATTGCCGGCATTAACCTAGAAATCCCTTGCTTTTGGCACGGTCAACTTTACGTGGCATATTCAAGAGTTGGAACTGGAAAAAATTTGTACGTCTTTGTCCCTGATTCGAAAACTAAAAACATTGTGTATCAATCTGCTTAACAATAAAACTGTTTTTCAGTACAGATAGATTTTCTTTAAACCTTCTACTGTGTCAAGGATGTACTATCAAATTTTCCGGGCAACGCCGGGTATCTCCGCTAGGATAGAAATAAAACTACAATTTTTTTTTGAAGTATTATGCAACATTAAAAGAAATTACAAGTAGGTGGTTATTTTTGGAAAGTGGCCATGGCAAAGGTCTTGCCGATAGAGTCGGTTCTGTTATAAAACGATTATTCGATAATACTATTAGATTAAATCCTGATGAAACATTTAAAGGTGCTGAAGATTTGATGAATAAGATAAGAAAATTTACAAAAATTCGACTTTACTTGTATACAAAAGAAGACGTTGATTTATTAAGAAAGCAACTACCATCATTAACAACGATTAAAGGAACATCCATGTTTCATGAAATAATTGCTCAACCGGATGGACAAATATTTGCAAAAATAAAATCCTATGAACAAGAAACGTTATTGCGAACCAATTTTTAGGAATTGAATTACGAATCAGCAATAGCTATTTATTAAGTATATGTATTTCGTACGAGTGAATTATTTTAGATTCGAAAAATTTTAGATATTTAACTTAGGTACTTTTTTATTGTGAAGCTATTTAGCGATATAAACGTCAATGTTATTTTTTATTTTGATTTCTGTCATCATTCTGAAAAGAAATATTTAAAGGAAATTAGTCATACAGCTCTTTCTTGGAAAATTATGAGTGGTACGCAATAACAATCGCTTAAGGGTACACCCCCCCCCCCTTTTTTGACCATTTCTGGATCACAAAGACGGTAAGTTCGATCGAATTGAAATTTTTACTACGGATAGAACACCTAAAATGATGAGACACATGTTCGAGAAAAATATTTTCTAAGGCGGTTTTCATGGTTTTTTTATGGAAAACCAAGGTTTTTCATACGTTCTCACCTTGCCAAGAACACCCACTTTCTAACTTGGTCCGATTGGGCTGAAAATTTTTTTGGGGATAGCTACGACTGCATCTCAGAGGTGGTTTTAAGCTTTTTCAAAAATCTCATTTTCTTTTTTTTTTATAAAAAAATACGTAAAATTTTTTGCCAGAACCAAGTTTTTGATCTTCAGAACCCTATAAATCTAAAAGGGAGGGTCAGAAATAAAAACGGCCAAAACTACCTCTGGAGAATACTTCAAAGTATCTATGATAAAAATTTCAGCTCGATCGGACAAAGTTAGAAAGGGGTTGTCCTTGGCAAGGTGAGAACCTATGGAAAACCAAGGTTTTTCATAAAAAAACCATGAAAACCACCTTAGAGAATTTTTTTCTCGAACACGTGTCTCATCATTTTAGGTGTTCTATCTGTAGTAAAAATTTCAATTCGATCGAACTTACCGTCTTTGACATCCAAAAATGGTCAAAAAAGAGGGGGGGGGGGGTGTACCCATAATTATACTGTTACATATACCTCAAGGGGGAACAAGCGGACTTCTGTACTTCTTCGTACTTTTTGGTACTTCTTGGTATTTCTTGGTACTTCTTCGTACTTCTTCGTACTTATTGGTACTTCTTGACAAATATCAAGAACTCCTCCCAAAAAACAGAACAAAAATGTTCTGTTTTTTGGGAACAGAATTTTTGACATTTCCCAATAACAGAACACTTTTGTTCTGTTTTGAGAAAAAATCGAGAAAGAAAGCGCGCACTTCTCTGTACTTCTTGTACTTCTTCGTACCTTTTGGTACTTCTCTGTACTTCTTGTACTTCTTCGTACCTTTTGGTACTTCTCTGTACCTTTTCGTACCTTTTGGTACTTCTCTGTACTTCTTCGTACCTTTTGGTACTTCTCTGTACTTCTTGTACTTCTTCGTACTTTTTGGTACTTCTTCGTACTTCTTGGTACTTCTCTGTACTTCTCCGTATTTTTGTACTTCGGAAGTACAGAAGTCCGCTTGTTTCCCCTTAATATACCTACATATGTGTAACAATGTTCTACACATGCTTGTTAGGCTCTCCTTTCGGAAAGGGATTGATGGATGTACGATAAAAGTAAAAAATATTCATCTATAAATTTTACACTACTTTACCAGTAGGAACTAAAGAAGATGGGAAATGAATTAAACGAAAACATTTTATCTTTCTTTTGTCACGAAAGATACTCAATTATGATCAAAATGTCTAACTCAGAAGAAGGACAAAGGCCTAAACAAACATATTAGATTTCCTTTCGGATACTAAGCATTCGAAGAAGATGAGATTAAAGAACTAAAAAGAAGACAGAATGCTTAAAGAAAAAACTGTTAGCGCAATCCCTTGAGGGATTAAAGCTGTGAAATGCGATGCATCTAGTGTTATTAATTAAATGTGCTTCGTTTTCTTCCAATTCTTTGCAATAGATTTGTAGCCTATTGTTTATTTCATGCTTCAAAACTAAAATTTCTCTGTAACAGTCTATGATGGGTTTGGAGATTCTCTATCGCGGTTTGTGATAGTCTATGGGGATTTTCTGTCACGATCCGTGGTAGTATCTGGAGGTTCTCTGTCACTGTCTGTGACGATCTCTTTGTG